CCAGCCAACACACTGAATGGGGAAAAATTTAAAAGATTTCCCTAAAAACTGGTATAAGACAAGGGTGCCCACTATCATAACTGGTATTCAAGATAGTGCTAGAATTCCTAGCCAGAGCAATCAGGCAAGAGAAAGAAATAAAGGGTGTCCAACTCAGAAAAGAGGAGGTCAAACTATCACTTTTTGGTGACAACATGATGTTGTATCTAGTAAACCCCAAAGTCTCTGCCAAGACACTCTTGGAATTGATAAATTCAGAAAAGCCTCAGATTACAAAATCTATGTACACAATTAGTAATTTTTATATATACCAACAATAGTCAAATTGAGAATCAAATCAAAGACTTAATACCATTCACAATAGATACAAAGAAAATAAAATACCTAGGAGTATATTTAATTAAGGAGGTGAAAGATAAAACAGGAAAGAAACTGTTGACATAAACAAATGGAGAAATGTATCATGCTCATGGATCAATAGTATCAATATGGCTAAAATGTCAATACTATCTGAAGTGATTTACAGATTCAATGCAATTTCCATCAAAATACCAATGGTACATTCCTCAGCACTAGAAAAAATAGTTCTATGCTTTGGAACCAGAAAAGAGCCTGAATAGCCAATGCAATACTAAGCAAAAAGAACAAAACTGGAGGCATCACATTATCAGACTTCAAAGTATACTATAACCTGGTAGTATAGTACAGTACAATATTGGTACAAAAACGGAGACATAGACCAATGAAAGGGAATAGAGAACCCAGATGTAAACCTTATACCTGTGGCCAATTGACCACTGACAAAGCAGATAATAACATACACTGAGAAAAGAAGCCCTATTCAATAAACAGTGCTGGGAAAATTAGATAGTCACATGCAGAAGAATGAAAAAGGAACCCTGTCTCTCACCACGGACAAAAATTAATTCAAGATGGATAAAAGACTTAAATGTAAGGGATGGAAACATAAGAATTCTAGAAGAAAATGTAAGAAAAACCATTGCAGTATAAGCTAAGAATTTATGACTAAGACCCCAATTGCAATTACAGCAACAACAAAAACAAATCAATGAGACTTGATTAAATCAATCTAAATGCGTCTGTACAACTAAGGAAAAAATCAAAAGAGCAAATAAACAACCTACAGAAGGGGGAAAATATTCACATTCTACACATCTGATAAAGGGTGATTATCCAGAATCTACAAAGAACTAAAACAAACCTATAGGAAATAAACTAACAACCCTCTGAAAACATGGGCCAAATGTTGACAAATGGCCAACAACCACATAGAAAAAATACTCAGCATCACTAATCATCAGGGAAATGCAAATTAAAACCACAGTGAGATGTCATCGTATTCCTGTTAAAATGGCTTTTATTTTTGCCCCCCTCCAAAAGATACTATTGTGGATGCAGAGAGAAAGGAATACTTATACACTATTGTCGTGACTACAAATTAGTACAACCTCCATAGAAAACTACATGGAGATTTCTCCAAGAATTAAAAGTAGACCTACAATTTAATGCAGCCATTCCACTACTGGGTATCTACCAAAGGAAAAGAAGTCATCTTATCAAAAAGACACCTGTACGCCAATGTTTACTGAAGCCAATTCACGATTGCAAAAATGTGTAATCAACCCAGTGCCCATCAAATCATGAGTGGATTAACGAAATGTGGTATATCTATACCATGGAGTACTACTCAGTTATAAAAAAGGATGAATTAATGCCTTTTGCAGCAATTTAGAAACTGGAGACAATGATCTTAAGTGATGTATCTCAAAAGTGGAAAAACAAACATCACCCGCACTCTCTAATATATTGGAACCAACTGATGGGCACACATGTGGGAGAGTAAAAGTCATTTACTCCCACAGACCGGAGTAAAAGTCACTGTAAATCAAGCAGGGGGGAGGAGCAGCAGGGGGGAGGAGCAGCAGGGGGGAGGCAAAAACCCGCCTTATGGGTACAGTGAACACTATTTTGGTTATTGGCACATTTATGGCCCTGACTCACTCTATGTAACAAAACATCTCTGTCCCCCTAACTTTTGAAATTAAATACCCCCCCAAATGTTTTTTTTTTTTTTTTGAGACGGAGCCTCAAGCTATCCCCCTGGGTAGAGTGCCATGGCATCACGCTCACAGCGACCTCCAACTCCTGGGCTCAAGCGAGTCTCCTGCCTCAGCCTCCCAAGTAGCTGGGACCACAGGCGCCCGCCACAGCGCCGGCCATTTTTTTTGGTTGCAGCCCTCATTGTTGTTTGGCGGGCCCGGGCTGGGGATTCAAACCCGCCACCTTAGGTGTAGGTGGCTGGCGCCTTAGCCGATTGAGCCACAGGCGCCGAGCCGCAAATGGAAGTTTTACATGTCAACAATACATTAGGTGTTCAGGTTTGAAAGGGTAAGGACTTATTGTAGGAGAACCGAACAACGTGAAGGAGAAGAAAGGCAGCAGATACACACACACTCTCGCCCACCTCTATGCAATGGTCCTTGCTAAAATGAGAGGTTTTCTATATGTAAAAATAGCTTAATGATCACAGGTGACTATAAAATTAAAACTGTGTGTTCCAGACACACAGTTTAGTACATCGAATGTACGACTAATTAAGAACTTGAAGCAGATTTCAATTTTACTAGAAATCGAATTTCTTTCAACTACTTAACAACATAGGAGATTAAGTACCAAGTTTCTTTTCAGCTAGAACCATATAAAGCAAAGTTGGGACGCTTTGATAAAAGGAACCCAACTTTAGAACTCATTCTCTCTTCAATGAAGTTAAAGACAGCGTATTTTATCATGGATGAGTGTAGAAAAGAATCTGATAATTTGACTATGTCTTACATTGGCCCTCTATTTAAGTTTTATGTATAATTATTTCAGACTCACAATTAAAGCTTCATAATTGTTCCAGAGTCACATAGCCAGCAAGTGGTAGGGCCAGGTTTTGAAAGCAGATCGCTTGAACCCACTGCCCATGCTTTTAATTACAGAAATCTCAAAAGTTTGTTGTGAGGTCACAGAAAGCTAACAAGTGATATAGCAAATATTCAAAACCTGCTTCCACTGACAGGAAATCCTGTGACTTTTCCATATACAAGATTACAATTCCTTTTGTATAGATAACATAAGCTTCCTGTTCTGGTTTTTATATACATTCAATAGAATGTCTTCTATACTATAAAACTAAATTATGAAAAACTACTGAATGATTAGAAAAATTAAACAAATGAATGGGGCCTTACATAAATTTCATCAAGATTTTTCTAAAGTCATTGGATTGAACTAGACAGTTGAAAGAAGGGCCGTGTGTGTTCCAAACATCTGCTAGAAAAAAATCATGTTTTCTTGGCTGCTTCTTTACACCAAGCACTAGCTTCCCACATGCTCTTGCATTCTGAATCCTCCTTGATAGGATTTGTAGCCAAGATCACCAAAGCTTTATGTTCCTTATCTTCAGTCATACTAGTCAAACATTAATGGGATTATTTTATTGTACCATATAGTAAAATCAGTTTCAACAATACCAGTGTCTTCCATGATCTGTAATTTCATTTTCCACAGTTTAAGTTACTTGTAATCAACATGAATTCAAAATCATAAAATGGAAAATTCCAGAAATAAATAATTCATAAGTTTTAAATTATACGTCATTCTAAATATTGTGATGGAATTTCCTACTGTCCCACTCCCTCTCACCCCGGATATGAATCTTCCCAGTGTCTCATCATGTGGGCATTATATTTTCTCACATAATCACAAAAAGAAGAGTACCGCATGATATTTTGAGAGGTTGATGGAGAGAACGTTCATATAACTATTATTATTGTATATTGTTAAAATTTTTCTATTTTATATGAGTTATGTTAATTTCTCACTGTGTCTAATTTATAAATCAAACTTATCATAGAGACGTATGTATAGAAAAAACATAGCACGTATAGGGTTCAGTACCATCCAGCATTTCAAGTATCCACTATGGGTAACTTATCACCTGAGGACAAATGGAGACTACTGTATAGCACATAACCATATCTAAATTATCACTGAATCACAGAAAAAATAGCAAAATTTTATTTCAGTGTTTTTATCTGTACTTCACTTTCTAACCTGATGTATTTTTATTACATTTCTCTGGAAAGTAAGTCAAGGCTGAAATATATCAATTTCTGAATTGTGTCCCTCCAAATTGTATATGTGAACTATAAACCCCTAGTACCTCAGAATCTGACTTTAAAAAGGGGATTAAATTAATGTGAGTCTGTTAAGGTGGAGCCTCATATAATCTGATTGATGTCCTTATAAGAAGGCAAAACTTGAACACACAAAGAGATACCAGAGGAAATACCATGTGAGAAAACAAAGACAGGGGAGCCATCAGCTAGATAAAAATAGAGGCTTCAGAAGAAAGCAGGCCTGCCAATACCTTGATCTTGGACTTTCAGCCTCCAAGACTGAAAAAATAAACTTCTATTATTTGAACCACCCAGTCTGTGGCATATTGCTATGGTAATCCTAGCAAAATAATGCAAATACTTTAAAAATTAATAGAAATATTAATTATAATACATATATACACATATTACAAAATAACAGGTACAGTCATGTACCACATAATGACATTTAAGTAAATGATAGACCATGTATATAATGGTGGTCCCATAAGATTGTGACACTAAACATTTTCTCTGTCTAGATACACAGATACCATTGTGTTACAGTTGTCTACAGTATTCAGTATAGTAACATTCCGTACAGGTTTGTAGAGTAAAGAGCTATTCCATAAAAGGATATAGGCTAGGTGTGTAGTAAGCTATATCTTCTAGGTTTGTGCAAGTATACTCTAAGATGTTTCCACATGATGAAATCACTTAAGGATATATTTCTCAGAAAAACTCCTGCCATTGCACTCATATGTAAATGCTGTCAAAATGTTATTAACTCAAAATTAACATTAAATATTGAAAGGCTGATGTGTTTACTAAACATACCCTACTGTCAATGTTCTTCATTGTTAACAGATCCAGGGACTTCAGAGAATGTCCGGTCGGTGAAATGAAGTAAAGGCACACATGGACTCGAGAATCGTGGTACTCAAAAAAGGAACGTTTAATCTTCAGCTCTTCTTGAAGGTAGGCCTCAAATTGAGCATCAATGTACTCAATGATTGGTTTGTAGCTAAAAAAGATTATTTAAACATTTAGCATAACATATTAATAAGATCTGGTCATCTTTTTCACCACTTAATATTCATTATATGTACTAAACAGTTCGCCATAGTGATAAAAGTGTGCATAAGATGTCCGTACAAAGATCATAATTTCATAATAAGGCCCGCGCTTTACTCCATGGAAATGTAACATGTTAACATAAAGGAAATATATGAAAGGTGTACAAAAACTATCTCTATGCTTGTTTTAGCATTCTCGTAGATCTAAAATTATCTTAAAATTAGAAGTTTTAAATATGAGGATATTAAAAGGGCCAAGGAACTAACTGAATGTTAACCAAAACTCTTACCAAAGACTGAGACTGGAAAATTCTCAGCAACAAAATTAATTTCTATGATATTATATTATAACTCATAAAGTAAATATCCATTAGTCTAACTGATATATAAATAATGGACTGAATGAATATATTGCTGGGAAAGAAATAAACTCTGCATTAGATAAAAATTTCAAATATAAATATAGAAGAGATGAGAAAAATACAAATTTGACATTAGAGCATCAGAGTGACAATTGTTAGAAGCAAAATCCAAAATAGATGCTTTAAAATGGACAACAGTTTAAGGAGAAATAGGATATTTGCCCAGTCTCAAAGAAAAATATCACTCTCTAAGATGTCTATTCATTACAAAACAAAAATTATAATGTTATAGTGGAGATGATAGATCAAGTTTATCATCACTCGTAATAAGATACATCCACATCATGTACCTCCTATTATGATATGCTGAGTAAAGTAAACCAGCTTTGTAGTGTTCTTGCCAAATTCACAGTCTCAATATAATTATGAGAAAGTATTAGGAAAACCCAAATTTAAAAACATTCTACAAAATAACTGGCCAGTGCTTAAAATATTTAAAAATCATAAAAGGTAAAGACTGGGAAACTATCACAAATTAAATTGGACTAAAGAGACATGACAAATAAATGAAAAGTATGATCCTATATTGGATTTTGGAACCAAAAAAGTCA